AATCTCCTGTTCATCCTTGAATTGAATACTGCTGCCATATCTAGTCAGGAGCTCCTGCTATATATCTCGAGATTCTTGACAAAAATTCAAAGAAGTTTCCATAATATAATCAATCCTGATCTGGCATCTTAACTTCAGTCGCTTTCTCATCAATATGACATGGCTTCCCTCTGTCTTTCTTACAAATATTTTCATGGCAACTGTTTCAATGAGCTTTTTTCCTTAGTACCTCGACTTCATGAATTTAAGCATACTATTAGATTGGCAACTAGATGTCACCATTTCACTGCTGAACTAGCTAGATGCAACTATTCTAACAGTTTCTTTTCTTGCACTTATCACCTGTGGAACTCCCAATTTCTTGCTTCCCTGCCACCTACAAGCTTCAAAAATTTAAATGCAATGCCAATTTCTATCTTCTGTCTTACTGAACCCTACAATTCACTAACATCTTCCCTTTCACTTGCTGTAACCCCCTGTACATCCTAGGAAGATTATGACCTTGCTTGGAGTGAAATTATTAAAAAAAAAAAAGAAAGTAAGTTTAAAATGTTACATTAATAGGCTAACAACTACATCAAAATCTTTAAACAAAATGTGTACAAATACTACTTCTGTACATTAAAAATGATTCAAGGAAATAGAATATTGCTTTTTATTACAACAATGATGGCTTATTCTAATTTTGGTATACAAAATTTTAAGGAACTGAAAGTGCAAAATAGCTTCCTTAAAGAAAAAAAAAAAAACTGATAGAAAATGAAATTTTTATTTCTTAATAGAGTGATTTTGGTAGATGTAGGAAACTAGTGAGACAGGAAACAATGGATAACTTGACAGGTGAACAGATGGATCAGTTAAAATTTTCCAAAATGCTTGTAAAAGAACAAAAAAGTATATAAAAATTAGAAAAAGCCTGGGTGGAAAATGTTTTCATTCTGGTGTGTAAAACTATCTGAAAAAAAAAAAGTGCCTGACTAAAGTAAAATGAAGATTTCCAACTTTTTTCCTAATTTGATTACAGCCAATCATTTGTTTTTAACTGATTTGAAATAGATATTTTTTTATGAGGTCACATCAACAAAATATCTTGTCTGCCACTCCAGGATATTCATTACTTTAACTAACTTCATGAGAACATTGTTAAAGTTGGTGCAGAATAAAGAAATTTCTCATGTAACACCTCATCAACCATGCCAAGACAAAGACATTTCTCTGGCTCATGCAGCCTTATATTTGTTCAAAGGTCTTAAATACTTTCAATTTCACTTATATTTAATAGCAAAAACATCACACATTTCTAATGGTAAACAACAGTCAGATGCACTCAGAAATTATCATATTTGGCATTAGGATTCATTATGAAATCCAACAGATATACATTAAGCTTTATGTTCCTCTAGTAAATTAAACTACCTCCATGTAAATAAATATTTTTCCAAGTGTCTTTACAATTATTCTGGCATGTGGACCAAATATTATGTTATCATAAAGTAGTGGTGTCTGTTTCCAGGCAGTCATTCTTCATGTTATCAACTCTCAGTCCTCTTCAAAAATGTTGTCATTTATGTCCAAAGTGGCTAAAGCCATAAAAATGTAGCAAAACAAATACCTTGTATTTGTGGATGAAATAATATATCAAAAATGCACTGTACACATGCTTATGGATAAGATTTTCTATACATAGATACCTGCAAGTATTTGCTAAAAAATTATCATACATGATGAATAAATACCCAAAACTTAATAAATACAGAGTTTTATCATCAAAATCTTTGTGTTATTAAGCACAAAGACCAAAGGACTTTTGATGTAAAAATTAATTTTTTTTAATCCTTTTTAGAAACTTTGAAATTTTGGTGAAAAATCTAATTTCTCTGGCATCAATTGTGGTGGTGGGTGGCATAAATTAGTGTGGGAAATTTAAGTATCTTTTGTGCTGAAAAACATGTTGATTTGAAAATTCTTGCAAAAATCAAGTAATTACCAGATTTTAATAACACTTTCAGGATTTATTCACAAATGAATTAAATTATTTTTAAATGTATCTTGTTTTAGAAAATCTTGATGAAAATATATTTATTATCCCACACTTATTGAATTATTTGAAAATTCCTTAAATTCTTTTTTATCAGAAACTAGGAGCAGTAACTATAATAAATTTAAAATTTATTGGTAATTTTCAAATATTTCTTCACCAAGCATCTTTGTAAGTAAGACTATAAAGCCAATATATTTAAAATTCAATAACTATTTAAAGTTTTAAAGATTGGGTAGTTAAAAAATTATCTAAGAAAGGTGTTTACGCTGTATTTGTCATGTAATTTTACTACAATTATTTTCTTCCTTACATCAATCTTGCAAACACTTCTATGTTAAAGAAATGCTTTTCTGTGATATTTTAAATTAAAATTAAGTTATATTTGTTTGAATTCAGATTAATTAAACTTTAAATCAGTTAATCTTTCTCAAATAAAGTTTCAAAAAAGTATATTTTATTTTTGAAAGATTTTTTTAATATAGATTATGTTGTGTTGACTGATTTGTCAATATGGACAATTTTACAGATAACCAAAAAAAAAAAAAAAAATATTCCAATCAATTTAAATTTGGTTTGAAATACAGCATAGTATTTTAATTATTGGAAATATTAATTTAATGTATTAGCTTCGGGTTAAAGCTAAATGAAGAAAATGTTTTCATTTTTAAAATGCATTTTATACCTTAGGTATCACTTTTTTAGGAGGTACCTACATATACAGAACCAGAACTGAGTGCAATTTAGTTAAAAGAAAGAGTGGAAGGTCTATAAATAAGGAACCAGAAGGAACTGTTTAACTGCTGATAGCAAAAATAGTTTAACATTCTTAGTCTTTAAATAAATCTACTTATTTCCTCAATTCCAGATGTAACACTCTTTGAAGATTATGGTATATTTCATAGTTTGGCTAAATTTAAAAAACAAAGATAAATCAGTTAAGATTTGGTGCTTCAAGAAAAACTTTGAAACTTGTCAAAGAGAAACAAAGAATTACTTGGAAAAGTTGGTTGATGACATTATTATTCACTTACTACAGTTAATACCAGCATAAAATTTATTCTTTCAAACAAAAACAGAAATTTTTTATATCTGTTTATATTACAATACCTCATCTCAGAAATATAACTATTTACAAGGTTCAGACTGTTGTATTCACCTCTATTGCCATTTCACAACATTTTAACTGTTGTATGCCCCAACCAAAGACACATGGCCCAGTGGATAAAAGCATAGATTGAATAATCCAAGAAATTATTTGACCCGAAGAGTTGTGAATTCAATACCTGGCTACAGCAGAGGGACTAAAAACTTGCAGAGTTGAGTTACTAAAGGGAATTAACCCAAACTGATATATCCAAAAAAGTTATGGCATGTGGAATTCGAACAATCTACCTCCATTCACTAAATAAAGGGTTTGGTTCAAAATCCCAATGTATATCACCTGAAGACGGTTGAAGTGTACAATGGCCAAAATGTTGTGAATATGGCAATAAAGATGAGGACAAAAGTGTGAATGATGTTGTAAATAGAAATTTTATCTTACCTAAACTGGAGCCTTAGTTAAAGAAACTCAGCAAATAATCAGAATGTATTTAAAAATAATACCAAGAAGACTATTCACAAAGAAAGTAGGTGCCTTTTTTAGAATTTAGGACTCCTCTCTTGAGGACTTTGTGAAGCTTAAAATTTTACACCCTCCCAAAAAAAAAAGCAAAACTTACTTGTCCTTTAGTTTAATGAAAATATTTAAATATGCACCATTTAAGATGAGATCATAACCTGGTCTCTTCCAAATTCACATAGAAATTGTAGGCATCATGAAATTTATTTTAAAATTTTGTCAAGATAGTAAAAATCCCAAAGATGGTGAGAGAATTATTAGAACGAAAGAACAAACTGTTCGGAAGACTAGTTGGTGGATTCAATTTTACGTTCAAAAGTGTTAGTTAATATAAAAAGCCAATGACTTAATTGAGAAAACGAGGGAATAGCAGAAATGATCGGAAGTAGTATAAAATGTTCAAGAGGCAGTCAAAATATCGACATTAGGAGAGTAAACGAAATCTCATTCTTCTTTCTAAAGGAGAGAGTAGTAAATTATATATATATTTTTAATATTGAAACTCTCAATAAATATTCAATTTTAGGGTTAGGAAAGTGAAGATAAAAAAAACAACATAAAGAAAAACTCACTTTTAGTTTTATGAACTTAAATGTGCTGGCGGTCAGAACTTTTCAAGCAGATATTGTTTTTCACTAAAGGTTAACAATGACGTTCATTTTGGTAACGTGAATGTTTTGTTTAAGGAGTTAAAGACAGCTTCTACATATATATCTGTTTAAGAAAACAATCTCGCTGTATTGTTGACATGCATTTATTTCGAAAATTCAAAAAGGAGTGAGCTCAGCGTTGGGAAATAATTTCACAGCAATAAATGCGCATTTAGTATTATACTTTAAAACGTAGGTATATAAATAAAATAAAAAACAAACAAACAAACAAAACACTATTCTTTTCTTAAATCTGTGAAAGGTAAAATAATTGAAAAACAATAAATATGAGATAGTTTAATTTAAAAAATTAACTTATCTTAGCCAGTAGTGCGTGATTTATTTTTGTTTACTAACGCCACCTAACGTCAGTATTTTACCGGTGTTAACGGAAGTTAAAATAATTACATTTGGCTTTTGGCAAAATTAAGATTAAGGGATGGTGGTATTTTTTTTTTAAATATCTGAGATGAAATATAAATAGATTCAATCTTGGTTGAGTATATAAAAGAAAACAGTTATTGTTAATTTGAAGGAAAAACGAAAAGCAAAGACGAGACAAAGTTATCCTTCCTCTATGTGAGCTGAATTGGCTGTAAGTTTGCTATTGTCGTAAGATGTCGCATTGGACACGTGCTAAGTCCAAAGACTAGTGATCTTATTTTGATTGTATTTGTCCTTCACTTAGCGAATAAAGGTAAGTTAAAAGTATAATAGTTAATATTATAAATTATTTTTTCTTCTCGACATATGTGACAAGCGGATCATAGTTATAAGTTTATTCACTTTCTAATTGTAATTCAATAGAGACGATGAGTGAAAAACTAAAAAATTAAGTAAAAAAGCAACGAACACATTAAAAATCAATTTATAAAAAAGAAAGAAAGATTTACAATATAAATAGATTTAAAAAAAAAAAAAATATACAAATTAAATGTTTCTTTCGCCACAATAGATACAAAAGATAAAAAAGATTATCACTTTCGTAGACATACAACAAGACAGATCATGTTTTAAATTCTTTTTAACCTGTTAAACAAATAGAACCTGTGTTTCTAATTCTTTTTAAAAGCTCTTGGGAGGTGTTGGGAAGATATCTATTTTGACAACATTATTTATTGTCAATGTATAATATTTTCCAGTTGATTTGTTTATGTTTAGCTCTGGAATGAGGCAAAAAAAGCTCATCAACAACAGCAACAGAATTTTAAAAAAAGTAAGCTAAGCACTAAAGAATTAATTGTTTACCAAAAAATCGCGCAAAAAGATAATTACTAATTTTTCTACATTGATCTATTTACTTTTGAAAATCACAGATATTGTGATGTTACGGTGCATCACAGAAAGAATACTTTACGTATCACACATTAACATTAATTCATTCTATTTTTATTTTACATAGTTTGTTCCTGTTTCAGTAGTTAAACACTGAAGTGAAATGCAATGTTCACCATAACCTGGAGGTGCTCAGGCTAGCAAAGTGCCAAAAGATTGGCTACTTTGTAAAAATAAATAAAAAAAAAACAACAAAACAAAACAAACATACCCTTGCAGTTTTATTGTTTTCATCTGTCAGATAATTTACCGCCGTGTCTAAAATTCCGAGACTTTTCCTTTTCTTATGGAAAAGTTTCGCTTTAGGTTTTTGTTTAGCCTTTTTAAAGTACGTTAACGTAATTCATTTTCATTTTTAGAATGAGAACATGAAAATGAGAAATATTTATCCACTTTAGAATTTTGCAATGTTGAATGCGTGTGTTTGCGTGAAAAACATATTCATAGCAAATAACCAAAGATAACCAATTTAATTGCAGCTGATGTAGAATTAAGTTTTCTTGAATTTGTTTTTAAGAAAATAAAACAATTTAAGTTTTAGGTTATTGCTAACGATTTAAGAAGATTGTTTAAAAAGACTTGTGCAACAAATAAATGCTTAGAAAATTCTCTTCTATGATAAAAGAGATAATTTTCTTTTTTTGCACATCAAATGTATACATCTGTTTAAGAAACATTGCAAAACTCTTTTTCTTTATTATTCAAATTTCTTTTTAAAATGATCAACTGACAGTTTTTTGTACATCAAATACCACAAATCTTGGTTATGAAAACACATAATTTTTAAAATTAATTTTATTAGAAAACATTCGGTTACATTAGATAGTTAACTAAGTTTTTGCTCTATTTGCAAAACCTTTCTTTAAGTAAATAATTTTAAATTGACATTTTTTTTGTACTTTTTAGCAAATCTGAACACTACCTTGACAATTGACATGTATTTTTAGTCGTGTGCATGATTCATAGTTGAAGCTGTAGCAAGATGGAAAAGGACTGTTTATACAAGTCAAAGAAAGTATTATAAAAATCTCAATGAAAGTTGAGCAAATTAAAAACATTTATTCAAAATTGGAGACAGTGCCACACAACATAGTCTTTCCTTTAAATCTGCACGTTTTCACAAAGTTATTAGCAGGGCTAATAATACAAAAGATACTGTTGTCACAAAACATAAAGAGCTGCAGGTTAGGGTATACACTTGTTTCATACAATTTCCAGAGCATGAAACTTATTTGAAAGGTAGTGTGGATCAAAAAAAAAAAAATGTTGTTCAAAAATAAATATATTCTGATGTGACTGTTTTTGGTAGAAGTGCAGTTTTGTATCCAAAATTCAAAATGCTATGTGTGTGGTGGAAAGTTAACTAAACTTACCACCAATATGGTCAAACACAGAGTACATCTGTAACTTTATAGATCTTTGTCTCATCTTAGAGAATTTGTTAACAAACTAAAATAAAGAGAACAATTTAAAAAAAAACAAAAAAAAACACTTATTTGAATATATATATTTAATTTTGAGATAACAACTTCTTTTGAGCCAACCAGCCTTTCAAGTTGATTTTCGTGTTCTGGAAATTTTGTATTAAGCCTTCTGATAATGTTGTTAGAACACATGTAACTTCATTTTGGTTTTAATTTCATCTTTGAACAAGATAATGATTCTAAACGCATAGTCAATAATACTCAGGAATGATTCAAATTAAAGAACATCAAGATTCTAGATTTGTTAGCTCTGAGCCCTATTGAAATCTTTGACAAACTCATGGTGCATCACAGGTTATTATTGGGGATGGTGGAATATTCTTGCTATGAAGAATGGTGTAAAATACCTTTTGCTCAATGTGAAAACTTGTCTGTGGCTATAGTGACCATAGGCAGTTATTGAAGTACATGGAATTAATCAATATTAGTCAAGAACTAGTGAGAGTAAATTTTTACAAAGTAATTATAAATTAACTTTATATGAACCTACTTTATATATAAATTAAGATAATATATTTTTTTAAGTTTCATAAATGACAAACAAAAAGAGATGATAATTTTCAAAAATTGTTAAGAGAAATTTAATTTCTGTCTACTGAAAATGCAGTCCTCGTTAAATTTCAATTAGTCATATACAATGAAAAATGGCAAAATCTTACATTTAGTAATGGTATAGAAAGCATATAGTTTGACATATTTTTGTTTAGGATGTATTTCATTGGATTTTCTTGTTTTTCTTTCTTCTATTCCACAATATGTTTGACGAATAAAATATATACTAGATTGATGTAATAAACAAATGAGTTTATGGTATCTGTATCCTAATTTAAATATGAGAACCCTTGTCTTTGAAATTCTGAAAGGATCCAGTGTAAAGTTTCCACTACGGTTTCCTCCTTTTTATTTTGGATTGCAGAGAATTTCCATTTGCTAACACATGCTCTTCTGTTTGTTTCACCTTTTTATTTCTATGAACAATGGCATATTTTAAAGTGATATGCAAATGAAAAGTTTCTGGTATCAAAGGTAATGAACTTATTATCTTTGTATAATGTGTGTATCTAGAATTCTATTATCAAGTTGTATTTCATGAAATTATATTAAAGACATTTTATTTGTAAGCTAGATATTTGTACTGTGGTTCAAAAAACAAAAAAGATATAGTAAGTTTTCCTTTTTTTGTATCTATGAAAATAGTCAAGGACAGTTAGATGGCTTTTAACAACTGTTCATCTAAGTTAACAATATAAAACCTCTGTTGCTGGCAAGATATTCAAATACTTCTTTTTTAAATTTTATTTATGTTAAATTATATGGTTTATATTAAAATAGAAGCAAACAAAAAATATATGACTTTTAATAGGTGTTAAGTGTTATAAATAATTATAACACTTTTAATAAGTTCTCAAGTTAAATGTTTTTTAGAGCAATAATGAAATTGATGTTTTACTTAGAGTTATCAGTTATAATTGTGAATCTGGAAAGTAATATCTCTGCTTATAGAAATGAGATCAGCTTTCAAAATTTATATTGTAAAAAGTGTTAACATTATTAGATAGCTTTTTGCCATTTTACACACAATGAAAAATGGAAACATCCTGTTTTTATACTTTTTATTGCTATTCAAATATAGCTTTTGAAATCCAGGCCCAATTATGTGCTTTGCTTGGTCTAGAAATAATTTATAGTAGTTATTACTGCCAGGTTCAAGACAAATAGCAAAAGGATTAATTGTATTGATTTATAATATCATTTGGAAGCAGTAGGATATAAAGAATTGTAATTGCTCTATTGAACAATGGGAGTGAATCTCTAAATGACTGAACACTATAATTACTACTACTTGAATAAAAAAAAAAGAGAGAAAATAAGATTTTTTGTTGTATTATCAGGGTAAGAAATTAATCACCACCTCTCAATCTGTACACTGATTTTTAAATTCTCATCAAAACCACCACTAATTTCAATATTATCTATTCTTATACTTTCATTATCAACCTAATCAGCATATTTGATAAAATCTGTGCTTTTTTTTCATGAAGGTTATCACCAAAACAATTATGAGAATAATTCAATTGATAATTTAAATATTTAGAGTCTACAAACAGCTTTGTATTGTTTATCATTTTAATAGTTTCTAGATAGAGAAATGTTATATGTATAAATGCTTATTTACATATAACTTTATCTACAGGAAAGATTTGTTGATATAAGTAAAAAAGCATACATGATGTTTGTTGATGCTTATACTCTTACTTGTATATAATTAGAGCACTGTATAATAATTTGTTTAACATATATTAGCAGCATGCTTGTATCTAAGTCTGTCTTTTATTTTTAATTAGAACATTTTAATGGTTCAAATTTAAGGTATAAAGTCACATTTTTGTTGTAATGTTAATCGTGATGATAAAAGTTCAGCTTAGATTTGATCATATACTGTGCATATGTGTATATCAACATGATCACCTTGGTGTGTATACATATATATTCATGAAGACCAAATGAGTTTAGATATTTCCTTTTAACTAAAAAAATTTTTAGCCAACAAAAGAAAAAGTAAGAACAAGATTTTTAACATACTCAATAATTTTGATAAATTATCAAGATTTTCATTTTGTAAATACTTATTAATTTTAAATAATTAAAATCTTAATTCACTCTTGTTTTTATATAATCATCATGGAAAATATTATCATTGGATATTGTGGACACAGTGCTTCTTAAAATGGAATATGTAATTATTTTAGAAGTGAATGAAACTAGTGGAGTTAATGACAATTTACTCTGGTATTTATACTTATTCTATACTTAAAAAGGTATTGCCATTATATAGCAATGGATATGTTTTTTGTTTTTCACTACATATGGATTTTGAAATTTAAAGTATTATATAATGATATATTCCACGTTTGCTGTAATTGAACTCTTTAGTGGAGATTAGACAAACTCACAATAGAAAATGAATTATGTATCAAATTATTGTATAAGGGAGAATAAGAGAAAATTTATTAAAAAACAAGGAAAGTTAGTTATGAATGAATGAAATTTCATAAAAATCTCAAGGGTAAATTACATTAACAGTTTAAGAAATATTCCTACAGCAAACAATTATTTTTTGTATTAGTACTATTATTGTTTTGTACTTAAATTAGAAATACAGGGTAATTAGTTTTTGCTCTTTATAGATATGTATGTTTTACAAAATAAATTCATTTTGTTATAAAAGCAAAAGTTTGCCACCTGTAAAGAGTTAATTTTGCAATTTAATTTTTTGGCATTGTGCAGTTAAAATAAATTCTGTTTCATAGAACCTCATCTCTTTATAAAATTGTTTAAAAAATAATTTTTAAATAATTGCTTTTGATTCTTTTGCATTTTTCTAAGATTCTTTTGGACAGTATTACATTCTTTTAATTATGAAAGTGAAATGATTTGTCTTCTTTTACTCTGAGCTAGTTTACTGAATAGTTTTGTTTTTTTTATAACCAAAGTCTATAAATACTGTTTGTGACCTTTGATAGTAATTGTGATCATGTGATGAGGGAGAAAAAATTATGCTTTTTGTAACAATTTTACTATAATCTTAAATAATTTATTTTTGAGTATAGTTTATTAGTCATTTTAATTTTAGTCATTGTAACTCAAATTTTATTTGATCTACTTCTCAGATAAAATAAATAACAAGGTGATTTGCATTATTGTCTTAGTTTGTAATGATTAGAGATAAGAAAAGTATTTTATCTTTTTCATTCATTTTAAATGAGATAAATTTACAAAACTGTTACATTAAATTGCTTATCAAATGATAATAATAATAATCCTTCTCTTTTGAATGAATGATTTTACAATACTTATATATAAACTTCAAAAGAAATTTTGCCTATATAATTGTATTCTTTTACTTAATCATTTTTTTTCTTCTACCTATCAAGTCATCCTGCATACCCTGCCATGAGCATTTGCAAAGGAGATGTGTTGTGGTCAAATACAAACCATGACAATTTCATTGTTTGTGGAACATCAGTTACTTTATACAAGGTAGAGAAAACTGTTAACTTGACAAACAAACAAAAATGTAAGTATAAACAATTTTATTGATGTAGTATTTTTGTTATTGTTAGATCAGGAGAGAATTTTTTTTTTTTTCTAATTGTACAATGACCTCTTTTAAAAGGCACCCCATTATCAGCAACAACGAGTGCAGTTCCTCTTTATACCTGCCCCCCTACAGATGTTCATTATATGAAAGTAAGTATTATTTTAATTTTTTTTTTTTTTTTTACACTTCTAATTTTAAGTATATATTTCATAATATTATCTCAGGAACCTTGTATGATTCTAGTCATCCTTTGGCAACTTTAAGGATACAATATTTATAAGTGTTAAAGACTTATCATCAGGAATCGTTCATAGTGAAAAATATATGCTCTTAAAAGTTTACAATAAGGAAATGTTTTTCTCTCATGAAGTGTATAAAATTCATATAAGGATAAATATTATATATACACACACACATAAAAGAGAATGTCTTATATCAAAAATATTTAACATCAAAAAATATAAGAAAAATGAATTCCTTTTAATAATATGTGGAAATATACTCTCTTGTCCTGATGAAGGTCACAAGATTGGAAACCTGTGTAGCAAAATTATGGAAAATAAAGCATAATATATTTTTTTTTAAAAATCCACATCACAACCAAAAACATTTGTGGTTTCTCTCTTCTTTTTATTATACACACTTTTCTCTCAGAACTACTATAACCTCTTCCCTTTATTTATATATATATATATATATATATATATATATATATATATATATATATATATATATATATATTTTTTTTTTTTTTTTTTTTTTAAATCTGCATGGGTTGCCCACTTTGATTTTGAGGCCACATTTCCAGTTTTGCAATACTTTCTTTGGACTCGCAGAAGGCTTCTAGAGACATGGAATAAGTCAAAGAAGTTTAGCTCTGTATTTTGTAGGATAGTCATTATATTAAGTCATGAAAAACAGCATAGACACAGGTTTGAGACTGGTGTTTATTAGGTAACAGAAGGAAGAGAAAGGGGTTAGGGAGAAAAGGGACATATCAGGGAGTGAGAATCACATTCCTTAATATCGATTAGGGAGCATACATTAAATGGTAATACAAAGGGAGTATACATTAAACAATAATGTAACAGTAGTAAAAAAGGTTCTTGAAACCCTGTTCTTTGCTTACTCTCTAGTTTCTTTTGTACAATTAGATAGTATATCAGAGCAATTACAATTTATTTTGATTCTTCAGCAGTGTTGCTAATATTTAATTAAATATATCAGATAGGGTTTTATCTTTCTTTATTATTTAGTGAACTTTTAAGATCATAAAAATACATGGCTTATCATTTGGGATGATACTTTGTACATTCTTGTGAACTTCTATAAATCTGATAAGCTACATATCAGTTGTTCACCTTGTTTTAAATTTTGTACATAAGTGAGCAACAATATTGGTTTTAAAATGATTTTTCACACTGGCATATTTGCCCCCAAATGCCAAACATTTTTCTTGGAAAAGTAATATTTTCTGTAATAACAGCTTTTTAAACTATCTCTAGAAATATTTCATTTTCAGCTCTATTTGTTTTGCATTAAAGCTCAGCAAATTAGTATGGAATTATTACATAACATGATACTTAATATATGGAGACTTGGTTCAGGGTTGCCGAATTGAGTTACAAGGAGTAAATTGGGTTACATTTGAATGTTCAACACTACTAAATTTTGAATTTAATTTACTTCTCATTAGTAGTTCAAGTTAGCCCAACTTATTTTGAGTAGCTCCAAAATTTAAAAATTAATTAAATTAAAAATTAAGTTGTGCTGAGCTTTCAGAAGTAGCCTGATCTTCCAACCTCATTTTGGAACCAGATTTACACTGAGTTGTTTTATTAAATCATTGTGGACAAGTTCTGTGTTGTTGGGTTATTGCATTTAATGTTTAGTGTTGTTGGTTTATTGCATTTATTGCAAAAATATTTTAATTTTTACATATTTTAAGAATGTTTGAGTATAAATTTGATTCTTTTCATTATATTTAAGAACTTTCTGACCAACATTTTTGTATGTATGGTTGAGTGTACATATGATGTATCCCAACAGAAACATTTTATTATCATCTCAACCTTTTATTTTTTAAGGATTATTTTATATTCTGTTAAAACAATATTAATACTGACTTATTCTATAAATAATGTTTAATGACATTGATAATAACTCGATGGATAAAGCATTCTATTAATATTTTCTTTCCTTTAGCTTATGATTAACTTTGTTCTGTGAGTTAATTTAGAATTTGTAACTCTATTTCATTCTATTAATAACAAGAATGAAATACATATGATTATCACTAAATATTTCTTGTCAAACTATAGGTAATTATCATACACCAACATGTGTTTTATGGCAGGAAATATGATATATACAGGAACAGAGAATAGTAATCAGTGTATTTTCATTGTGAATTTTGATTAATTCTAAAACCAGTTATACTTAAGAAAGTATAAAGAATGATTGGTCACTTATGAAAGTTTTTTTTGCTTGTCTTAAATTTATTATTAACTATTTAATTTTCTCACTAATTTTCATTACAGTGTGTTGCTCTATATCCAAAACCAGAATACCCAAATTTGTTAGCTGTCGGTCAGGTAATAGGGAAAGTGGCCCTTACAAAGTAAGTTGACATTTATTATGGTTTTTATTTGTGCACAAATGAAGTGAATGTTGTTTAAAAAAAATGGATGTATGTGACTTTGATTTGTTGTAATGAGAAATATTACAATAAAAAGAAAATATTATGGTACAGAATACCATGGGCAAACCATGACTTCATGGTTTTGAGCCCGATTCAATCTATATTATTATATACATTTTATTTATCAAGTTTGAATCTTTGCATGAAATGAAACAAAATTAACTCCTGTCAGTAATCATGATTACTTTTGGTGTGAAAATTTGTTGTATAATCATTATTAATAGTTTGGGAATTTTAAAATATCTTTGATAACTGCTGATACAGGTAAATAGTTTTTAAAAAATTTAGTGTACGAATAAAATATTGCAACTTGTAAAATTCATAATAATCATAGAATAAAATATTTTACTTAGTCTGAAATAATTCTGGCAATCTATTATTAAAATATAGCAAAGGCAAACATTTTTGTAAATGTGTAAAATATTGGATAACCAAAATATTTTTTTAGATTTATTACCTAAAAATAAAAAAAATAAAAAAATTCATCATGTTCCCCTGTTTTCTATCATCTTTCAGGCAACTTCATAATTCTGTCCTCCTTAGAACTTTTTATTTTTTTGCACAAACCAAATACACTAAATACCTTTTTATAGTCTCCCAGAGAATTCATTTTTTTTTTTTTTACATTAGATAATTCTGTAAAGTGTTGAATAAATGGTAATATGAAGGTACAATATTTACTGAATACAGCATAAAGGTTTTTGCCTGGTTACTAAAGAAAAGTGTTGCCTAGTGATACCTTAATGGAATATTATGCACTTTCTATTTACTAATTCTGAGTGAGATTTTGTTGATTAATGCCTCCAGTTGGTTTAATTGGAAGCAGTACTTGTTCAGTTGTTTGCTTCCCCAGAAGGATCTCACAATAGAAGATTATCTTCCAATTTTATCAAATACATAGTATCACCTTCTTTGGTTTAAAGTCAGCCCTTGTTACAGTCACTAGTGGTTTATTTTACTTGTCTTATGATCTCTTGCATTTCATGTTGTTGTAAAGTATCCAATTTTCATCACCTATTACTTTAAAAAATAGAATATTTGTTATGTTTACCTTGAAAATCACACACAAAAAAAAGTCAAATAAGAGATTTTCATTTTTGTGGAAGCCACAAGCAACTGACATAACCAAGTTGCTGCAAATAATTTTCACTGCTTGATTTGAATATTTTGAGCATAGTTATTTTTTTCTCATTTTCAGTGTTAGATTAAATCATCAAAAATATTCCAATTTTGACAAAATCTTAAACAAAAAACCTACACTGACAGCTATCGTAATCAAAAGCAATCTTTTTGGATGGATTTAGTTAAAGCTAAATGCTTCTAATGACAAAAAAGGGCAAACTTAAAGTGACTTAATAATTCTCAATTCTGATAATGGCTTATGTAAGCTGAAAGCTTAGATTAGATTTAAACATGTATCAATATGGTGTTTTCCTTTTGTCTTTCAATGATAATGTGATTAAGCTTATCAGACAATATAAAAGGAACTTACTTAAAATAGACAAAACTTGTCTATATTATTTAAGGAAACATGCATTATATATATATATATATATATATATATGCATACACACATATATTTCAGCTTTTGGAAGTAAAGTCTGATGATCCAGAACCCTGTTAAAGGGGTTATGGTGAAATAGCTTATTACATGAAATCTTAACGTGGTCTGTTTTTTATTCAATATATATATATGTGTGTGTGTGTGTGTGTGTGTATCTATAGTGTATGTGTTTTAGTCTTTCTGAGTTTTAATACTAAAAAAGAACAGTAATATTTGAGAAGCCTTGATTTAAAAGAATTTTACCAGATTTTTCTATTAAAAGGATCCATGCTCTTCCTTGAAAAGATCCTGTATACTTTCCATTGTTGCACTATGTGATATATTTGTTGTTTCTTTTATTAATGCCTGAATCTTTTACTTTTTTAAATTTCTTGATCAGATGAGATTTTTATACCTGGAATATTTTGTCTTGGTTATCTGTTACAGTTGTAAAATTGTATAAATTTGAAATTCATTAAAGTTTCTCACATTATTCTTTGTTTGTTTTGTTATTTAGCATTGGAGATTCCAAAAATTGTGATTTAGCAGGAAAAGAATTTGGTAAGAACATATTCAATTATTTTCTTTTTCAACCTAAGTTAAAAAACTGTTAAAGAAGAAATCTTATTGACACAGAATAAAAAACTTTAAAGTTGACCTTTTAATAATAGGTTTAAAGATTTAAAGCTTGCTTGTTCTGAAGTTAGATATTACCAGGGTTTGATAAGTTTGGACAAGTATCATCATTGTTAAACTCCCTATTTCACAAGGACATTTTGTAGATTAAAACTTTTAGTATGTTTAATCATATATTTATTGAAATATATTTTAAAGTGGTTTTGTAGGGAAAAATGTATGATCGCTAATAAGATCATTTTTAAATCTATACAATGTTTCAGTAGTGTCATTCAATAATTCTTTACATTTGTCTCTTAAAACCTTGAAAACTTTAGCTGTTACAATCATATATGATGTACCAGTAAGCAATGCTATGACAAAATGAAAGGGTACACTGCTGGTTATATAGCAATGACAGCTATAACATTGTAGTATACACATCTTATTGGATACTTACAAAAATCTTATACATTTATGTTTCAAAACACCATAAATATAATATGGTAATTTAAGGCCAAAAACTTTAGGAATGTTACTTTTGTTGTCATCCACTTATTGCAAATGACTGAAAGGTGGCTGATGTTTGTTAACATTGCTTTCATGTTTTTAGGACCATTTTTCATTCTATATATAGTAATAAACAAATGTTTCTTAAAGGTAACACAATTGTTAATATCATGTAGGTTATGTATGCTAGGTTAAGCAGTAGAGTGAGATGATGTGAGCTTCCCTCTTAACTGCTGAGGTACTGTAAGCAATTTGATGTAACTGATAGTTTGGCTTGTTTTCAATATTTTAATACTAACAATTTCCATACCTAGCAGACACAGGATCATCTGACACCCAAGCCTACTGGTACAGCACTTGGTTGTCTCCCATTTGTAATATGGTTGTATTAGGTGCAGGGCAGTCTTTTGGTACATTTAAAAAAAAAAAAAATACATGTCTTATGCAAAGGCAAATATGGAATTAATTTTGACTGGGGATACTATGTTTGTACTGTGGACTAATGAAATAGAAAATAGTAATAATAATTGGTTACTCATTTTCCACGTACATCAGTCTGCCTAGTTAGCTAATCTCTGAAGCAGTCACCTGCTCGGACATATTTGTGTTTCTTTAATACCCGCAAAGCCAACATGTGGGTTACACTGCAACTAAGCTGAACAGACTTTAGTTACTGTTTCTAGGAGAGTGTAAAATATGGTGAGATCAACAGTTTTAAACAAGGCCAGAAGCTTAAACTGTTGGTCATAACTGCAATTAGAACTAGCACAACCATCAATGGTTTCCAAACAGTTTTGTCTACCCAGTTTCAATCACAAGGCTTGGGTCAACCAATGGCATGGGTTTTCAGTCAGTTTCCAGTGCTGTTTTATGCTGGGAATCTCTTCCCAGGTTGATGTAACATTAAACAGTGTCTTTTCTGACAAGTCAACTATGGTGAGATTTGAACCAGAATAGCAGAAAACAAAAGATAATTTTAAAAGAAAATAAACTGTTATTTAATGTGCATAAAATAAACCCAACATGTACAGAAAACAGTTGATGAAAGATGTTCTAAAGATATTGATTTGCAAAATCCATATCATGCATATCAGCATCAGCTGTGTGCATGTTAGTAAGCTTTCTCACTTCTCAGCAGTCCAATATTAGGCACATGTTCTGTTTATTCTTCTGCAATGCTGTTAGCATTGCGACAAAATTCCCTTTTGGAGTAAGGTGGCAGCCATCTATTATCCAGCTATGTTTGCAATTCTGATTTATATTCAACATTGACTTATTTAAACAGAAGTTATTCAGGTACCATGTCCTGTAGTTTCTCTTGTTGGCCATCAGACAACTTCCACATTGCAGTCCAGACTTTCATGTTTTTTTTTTTTGTGTTTTTTTTATAATAATATTCACCCAATACAAGGCCCAAGGGTCACTCAGGGTAGAAGGTTAGTGTGTGGAGTTGTATTAGTGTAACAAAGAGCAAGGTAACAAGAAAGATAGACAGCTAATTTTAGACTTGAAAAGGTCAAGATTTATTTAGTGAATAAAATTTCAGAGTTCAGGTGGACATGTTAGGAGTATAGAGTTTAATTAAACTTTATAAGGAACTGGAAATACCAATCCTAAACAGGGAACAAGGGATAAACCTATACACCTGTTCAAAAGACCGAGGAGGAGTGTGAACAGGATGATAGGCAGACCTATCTTGGTTGAACTCTAGCTAAATTCAAGTGTGTTGACCTTCATTGCTGCACAAATAGGCAAGTTGCATCTTGAGAAGAGAGCTTTAACAAATTTAATTATGTGGGCTCCATTCAACTTTTTAATAATGTCCATTCTCAGAAGTAGGTTGAATACCAATAATTTGTTGTCCATATGAAGTTGTATGTTTCCAACTCCTCAGCTTTTGAGAATGTTTCTGTTAGCTATTAATGTCCACCTTCCGTTTGCTTCAAGAATAACAATCTGTTCTACTCACAAGTGGCTGTGAACAAACTGAATCTATCAATTCTGTACATTTCTTTCTATCTGTGTATATGTTAATCACAGGAAATGCCTTGTTTATATCTTTTGTTGGTAGGAAACTGGCTCCAAAGGCTTGTTCCCCCATCTTGTTTCTTTGATACTCCAAGGCAATGTAAATTAGTTCATGGCATCAAAAGCAATGCACATCTGTACACAACTAATGTTCATTTCTTCACATCAATACTTGCTAGTCCTGGGTATGATGATAAACTATATCCTGCAGCAAGGCTTCTGATCAAGAAATTGGTTTTGAGGAGCATGGAACCACCACTTTATTGCTATTGAGGTCCACCCTAATCTGAGGTGTAGCACCTGTTAGGGTCCCAGTCATGGGAACTTCATGATTTTTGTTTAGGGGTTCACGAAGTACAAAAATACTTTATGGTAAAAATATCAGTGATATATTTATAAAATAAAGACTAGTTGAAATACATTTTCTGAAGCAAAATGGCAATCAGTACAGCACTAAAGTATAAAAATACATTTTTATAATAGAATTACCAGCAATACATTTATTATATCTAAATTACATATCTAAACATACATTTACCCTAAAAGTATAAAATTATGTACAAAATATCTAGTTGAAGCCATAAAATTGTGTACAAAATATTTAGATTTCAGCATTAAATAACCCATAGAGGTGTCGATATGCTGCTAAACAGAAACAACCAAAATTAATACTGGCAATCTTGAGCAAAGTGATTGGGTTCAGATCATCTATAGTAGCTGATGTTGGTATGATATTTAGTGGGTGGAATATTAGCATTGTTTTCAACTGGTCATATAGCTGCGACTGGTTTCTCAGTAACCATTTTGTCTTTGATTATGGCTCAAGCTTGGAAATTTTAAATGGTGACCACAATGTTCGCTTGACATCATTTGCAAACTCCATACTCACACAGCTAGTAATCTGCCATCACTTTTTGCTGGTAACAAAGAACAGAAATTTATAAAGCCTTGTGACACTCATAATTAGCTGTTTAAAAAAATAGAAAAGGAAATTTGCATGGCTGTATTGATCACTCAGATCCGTGTTGTTCGTCTTGCCCAACAGATGGAGCATGTGGTGCAGAAGTATTTCAGTTAGTGAGGTAAGCTGCTATTTCCTTTATGTATTTAGTGGCTTGGCTTAACAAAGAAGTTGTATGATGTATTTTGATGATGTTGGAAAGCCACACTAATTGTGTGACATCAGATGATTTGATTAAATAAAGGTGATAGATATGGGCTAAATAAATCATGTGAGCAGAGGGAAGATAGTAATAGTGAGAGGTTGATATGAGGAGGTAGTGGATGGCACCACACTGCAGAAGACAGATGTCCCGAGCAATGCAAACCACAAGGATGTGTTCATTTCTGAGTGTGCTAGCTAATCACTGTGACAGATAAGAACTCTTCAAGTACATTTATGTTTCTTCAACATCTACAAACTGTGGTTTATACTGCAACTATGCTTAGCAGACCTTAATTACTTTATGGGAAAGAGAAAGCGAGAGGGGGAATGATCTGGTGCATAGATGGTGCACTTTTTTCTATAAAAGTCTTGGACATTATAAATAAATATGAACTAAAATATATGTTAATTCATGTTTTATCCTCATATCTGTCTTTTCTGTTTTTTTTTTAAATTTATTTTCTTTGGTAATATTTTGATAACTTTTTAACTGTATTGTGCCAGAAGGTTTTCTCATCTCAGAGTCCATCTTGCACATTTACAAATCTACCATTCATCTGTGCATTGAATATTGTTGCCATATCTGGTTAGGTGCTCTTGCTACTTATCTTGAGGTCCTTGACAAAATCCGAAGTAGGATCTGCAATGTAATTGATTCTGACTTGGTATCTCAACTTCAGTCACTTTCTCACTGATGTGACATGACTTCCCTCTGTCTTTTCCACAAATATTTCATTGCTACTGCTCTGACAAGTTTTTTTTTTTCTCTCTGGTGCCCAGACTATGTGTGTTTAAGTGTGCTGCTAAAGTGCCAACCCTTTTACCATGGAATAAGTAAATGTGAAAGCTACTTCTACTTCAACAGTTTCTTTTCTTGCATTTCCTGCCTGTGGAAATCTCATCCATTTACTTGCTTCCCTGATAACTTCAATCTTCAAAAATTTAAGTGCAACATCAATTGTCATCTTCTATCTTCTTGAACCCCATTCAGCTTTTATCCTTTCATCAGACATATCTATACCCAGTCTTTTCTCTCACCTTCACTCTCTGTAAGCTCCTGCTTATTAGTAGCATTCTCGCCTTGCTTGGAGTAAAATGATTTAAAAAAAAAAAATAGCATATGATGTTTTATTATTTGTCTAGTTAAATTATGAACTATTTTCTTCCAGAACACCTTTTTAGATGTGAGAATCCAGAAATTTTATCAACTTCTAATCAAGGATATATTCAACAAAAACTATTA